GCAAAATTTAGTGAGTGGAGGGAGGGGGTAAAGGAAATGGGAAAGATCCAGCGGGGACCACTACAGGGTAATGGTGGGCATAGTCTAATGGCAATTAATTTATGGTTATTATTAAAACATAATGAGTGGGAATGATTGTATGAAACACAGAGTGAATGAAGAATAATGTGAAACACAATAAAACACAATGTAAGCTTTGTAAGCAAACTAATATGAAATCATTTTTTTAAAGTGGCTTTATTTCAATTCACTATGCAAATATGATAAGACAAAATTAGATTTTATTTGCCATTCTTTTGAGTCTGTGAAATTCACACAAAGGATGCTTCATACTGAAAAAATTCCTATAATTAGAAGTTACACCTTGAAAGGCACATTGAATACTAAGGGAATGAAAACTGTAGAAGTAAGTCTAAGCTAAAAGCTTACATCCTGTAGTTTTGTTTTCTTCTGTCTAGGAAGTTTTGCACATAAGTGCACATTCCAAACACACATTCCTGTGGAAGTTAGGGAACAAGGACCACACAAAATGCATTAGGTCCTGCTGTAGATTCTCTGCTTCACTGCCGACCCGTACCATGGCATGTACTGTAATTCTCTTCTTTCCTACTCCTCTTATTAGACTAAAGGTTTCTTGTCAAAGGTAGGTGTTTTCTTTAATCATATCCCCATAGTAACCGTTGACAGTAATCCTTTGCCATCAGGTAAGTTCTGACTCACATCAGTCCCATGTATCAGAGTAGAAGTTTGCTATATAGGGTTTTTAGTGGTTGATTTTTCAGGAGATAGCCAGGCCTTTCTTCCAAGGTCCTTTTGGGTGAACTTGAACCTCTCATTTTTCAGTTGGCATCCATTTGGCACTGCCCAGCCCCACAGTACCCAACAGTGAATAAACACAAACCAGAAATTTTCAGGTTTTCCCCCCATAAGACCTGACTATTCTTGGAAATTTCAGGTTGGAATTTCTCAGTGTTGCTTCTTGGAATTTTGTTCTTAAGCCCAAAGAAGTTCTTTGAGGAGTATTACAGATAGAATCAGGTCCCCTAGCTCCACCAAAACTTCTCGATGGTTCTGCTGAACCTCGCTGGAGTCTCAGGTTGTGGGCAGATGCATCAGTGCCCACCGTCCACTCTCTGAGATTGTCAGGTACAGGAATGCAGGGATCAATCTGTGAGCCATCTGTTAGCCAGCCAGGGTGCACTGCCAGACTTGATTCAAATGGTTTGCAAACTATTCCCTGAAAAAAGAGAGAAGAGGAGTCTCAGGATGGATCCTGATTCCTATTCCAGTTTTAACTAGAGCAGCCCTCTTGTGATCTGTTTATGTATTGGAGTTCTACTGCTAGGGTGGGTCCTTCTCTTAAAACAAATGGCTAACTCTCTCCTCACCATCCATAAGGCTCTGGGCACTACTGTTTAACCCAGTCATTGGGGATATTATAAAAAAAAAGAGAGAGAATGGACAAGGCTATATGGTCAGTGAGAGCAAGCCACTATTTGAGGCTTGAAAAAAAAATGTGGAAAGTTCCTGGCAAGAGGATGAGAACAGGCCCAGGTGGGAAATTTCACAGATACTAAGCAAGAGAAGCACAAAAGGCCATGTATTTTATTAATCTATTTCTATGAAATGTTCAGAATAGGCATCACTATAGAGACAGAAAGCTGGGGTGGTTGACAAGGGATGAGCAGATGAAGGAACGGAAAGTGACATGGCATTTCCTTTTGGGGTGATGAAAATAGAATAGACATTCTGGCATAAGTTTTTAATTTAGTAAATGTTATTTCATACCTTTGCAATCTATATGCGGAACAGATCATCCAGGAGGCTGGGCTCTATGAGAAAGACTCATAAACAACCTGCATTATGCAGATGGCACAACTTGCTTGCAGAAACTGAGAAGGACCTGAAGCATTTTGCTGCAGAAGGTCAAGGACTGACAGTAAAGAGATTGGATTGTTAACAGCTTCAGTTTGCTTGGCTTCTCAATCAACACTCTTGGTACCAGCAGCCAGGAAATCAAAAGATGAATTGTATTGGGAAAATCTGCTGTCAGGGACATCTCCAGAGTACTGAAGAGCAGTGATGTCAGTCTGGAGACTAAAGTGCACCTGATCCAGTCCACGGTGTCTACAATTACTTGCTATGCATCAAAAAGCTGGACAATGTCTAGGGGTTATAAAAGGAAAATTTATGTGTTTGAGTTGTGGTGCTGGAAAAGAGTATTGAATACACCATGGACTGCTAGGAGAACAAGCAGGTCCGCCCTGGAGAGGGTAAACCAGGCTGCTCCTTAGAGGCAAGGATTCTGAAGCTCTGTCTGACATACATTGTCATGTTGCAACGAGGGACCAGTCCTTGGAAAGGGACATCATGCTTGGGAGGGTGGAGGGACAGTGTAAGAGAGGAAGACCCTCGATGAGATAGATTGACCCAGTGATTGGGTTAATGGAGGTGGGTGTGTCAGAGACAATGAGGTTGACCCAGGATAGAGCAAGGTTCATAGAGTTGCTATGAGTCGCAGGCAATTCAATGGCACGTAACAACAACAACACTCTATTGAGCACTTTAAAATGGTGACTTTTATGTTACATGACTGACTACAATTAAAGCAAAACATGCATGAAGGAGAAGAAAGAGAATGGTAAGGAATCCAGAATATCCCTCTGAACTAGTTTATTCAGTGGTGACATGGCAGTAATAACACTCTGCCCCTCCCTATATTGGCTTCCAAGGGCTGCTGCCACAAAGTACCACACACTCGGTGACCTAAACAACAAAACTTTGTGCTCTCACAGTTTCAAAGGCTTGAAATCCCAATCAAGGTGTTGAGAGGTCAGTCCTCTTACTTAAGGCTTTAGGAAAGGAGCATTTTTTGCCTCTTCCAGTTTCCCGTAGCCCCAGGGATTCTTGGTTTGTGACGACATAGCTCTACTCACACACCCTCTGTCTTCACATGACTGTTGTCATTCTGCATCTGACTCCATGTCTGTTATCTTACTATGAGAGCTCCTCTCATAAAGAGATCAAGGTTCAAGATCAAGATCTTAACTACTTTTGCAACAAGTCTATTTCCAAATAAGATTATATTCTGAGCTTTCACTCCTCCTGCGTCCAGGCCTTCCCACTTGGGAATCTGGTCCCATCCGTGGTTCTGCACCATGTGGTTAGAGAAGCCAGATGGCATGGAGCTGATGTTGGGGAGAGCCATAGTTGGGCCTGAAGGAACCCTGTGCATGCGTTCTCGAGCTTTGATCTCTTGACCTTGGAAGTTCGATCTACTGTCAACAAGAATATAATGTAGAATATGACCTGGTGTCCCAGTGTGGGAAAGGATTGGTCAGGAGCCATGTGTTCCCCAGGACAATAGATGGTTTGATGACAGCTTAATCCCTGCCTTCATCTTTGTCCTTTGTTATAGTAAGCTTCAGACACCAGTCTCTGGAAGACCGTTACTGAGGTGCCACCACTGGAGGGAGATTTTGAGCATCAAGTGGAGATGAACCTGTTCTTGAAAAAGTTTCTCTAGTTTGAAGGAAAACATTTTGGTTATTAAAATAAATATTATTTGTTCTAAGAAAAAAAAAGATTATATTCTGAGATTACAGGAGTTCATGTTTTTCAAAGGACAGTAACTCAACTCATGTGTAAAAGCTGGCATAAGTAATATATACATGTAGGCTTGGCCTTCAGTTGTTGTTAACTGGCCCAAAGTAATTTCTGACTCATAGAAACCTCATGTGGCCAGAGTAAAACACCACCATATGGTTTTTAAGACTGACATTTCAGAAGCCGATTCCCAGCTCTGTCTCTTGTAAAACACTCGGGTGAGTTTGAACTGTCAACCTTAAACCTAGTTATTGCTTGCCGTCCGAGTTGGAATCAACCCACAGCTGACCCTCCAGTGTGTTTTCAAAAGCCTTAAATCTCACAGAAGGAGATTGTCCATCCTTCTCCCATGGAGTAGCTAGTGGATTTGAAATGTGTGCCTTTGAGATTGCAGCACAGCTTCTTACCACGAGGCCAGAGCTCCCTAAACTTAATATCATTTGAAAGAAATATAATTGTCTAAAATTATTTGTTCCTTCCATTACCTTCACTTCTTATGACTATGGTCTTTGGCTCCTGCCAGACAATCTACCCTCACCGCACATGGCAGGCATTCAGCCCTTTGTAATACAGGCCAGTATGGTCATTGGGCCACTCCCATCTCCCATGACCACCTGAGGGCTGAATTCAGTAGAACCCCCTTGCTGTACCAGAATTTCTGATCTCGTTGCTGTCGAGTAGGAATCAACTCATAGCTGACCCTCCGGTGTGTTTTCTGAGGCTGTAAATACCACAAGAAGAGACTGCCTGTCTTTTTTTACAGAGCATTGGTGTATTTTTACAGAGTATTGGTGCCAGCCTTTGGATTGGGAGCAGAACTTCCTTTATAGCCACTAGGTCAATAATGTGCTCGGAATCATTGGGGGGGTGGGGGAGAATCTGGAGGTCTACATTTTTTAGTATGTGTTCCTTCACATAATGCTTGTATGTTTGAGACGACTGGTTACTTCATTCCAGTTCATACACTCTCTTCTAGGAAATTGTCCAGGCTGAGAAGGCCTCTGATACACATCAGTGGCTGTGTCTGAGGTCCTGAGTATCTGGGTCAGATTCACCTTGGGTTCTGCTGAGTGCGCTCTGAGGAATCCCCAGGGACAGATGCCTGAGTCTCTTTTTCCTCTCTTCACCCCCAAGCACATATGATCCTGCCTCCTCCCTTCTGGGGACTCCCCCGGGTGCTGTAGGAAGTGAGACACCATTTCCGTTAGTTCACAAATACTTTTGGGAGAACCTCACTTTTCCCTCTTTCCACATCCCTCTATTTCTGGCATTCATAGATGCTCTAGCACTTGTATTACTCTATCACACTAGCCTTTGTTTTCCCCACTCCATCCCACTTTACAGGATGTGCTAGGTGTGGGCCAGTTCCCGCCCCCCACCCCCGACGATTGACTATGGAACCTGGGCCTGGGCCAGATGCATCTCTGACTGTCAATGAACAGGTATTTTCTGGGGCTAGAAAAGGCCAGGAGGTGGGGTTGAATGGGGGTGATGAGGAAGGTGGGGCATTCTTGGTGGGCCAGCTTCAGCCTGTGGACAAGGGAGGAAAGAAGACTCCACAGTGCCCCCTGTTATCTCTTTCTTGCCTCTAGAATTCCTAAGGGGCTGAGTTTGGGGATTTAAGCTGTGACTTTAAAAAGGTGAAATATATTCATTTACATGTAACTTTTAAAAATGAAATGAAAATTCGTGAATATATGTGTTTATATAAGGCAAGTTGTTGAAAGCAAGTAATTTACTCTTTTTCTCATATATATTTTTCTAATTTTCTGCAATGGCCATTTATTACCTAAAACTTTTTAAAAAGCATAAAAAAATTAGTTTCTTAAAATGTAATTGGAGTGAAGTCTCCTATAGGTTAAGTTTTTGTCAAAGGGGGAACTGCTAGGGAGCGCTGGTGGCCTAGTGGCAAGAAGCTACACTGCAATCTCAGAAGTATGTGGTTCAAATACACCAGATGCTCTGCTGGAGAAGGAGAGACTATCTCCTCCTGTATCAGTCAGATTTGATTTGATGATACACACAAAATAAATAAATAAATAAAATAACATTTTTTTTTTTTTTTAAAAAAAAGGGGAACTGGTTTTAGAGGTTTACTTGACTTGTGTCCTGTATGGTCACACTGTCATTTTTTCCAGCAGAGTCTGGCTGGATCCAATTTGCAAACTTAAGTAGTAGTGTGTGGGAGTGGCTTCAAGCCTGGGCCAAGTGGAGGGGAGACTTGATACAAAGCTTTTAATATCTAGAGTTTGTGATCCTAGAATTGCCATCTGGAAGCATTTCCGTGTGGGGATAAGAGCTGAGTGCTGGACATTCGAGCAGGGAAAGAAGACTAAGTGTTTTGAGGATGCCTGGGGACTGGCCGCCTCGCTCAGGCATAGAAAAGCCCTGGAAGTCTGAGCATACCCACAGCAGATGGCATGACTGGAGTGCAGGCTACCAGACCTGGGACACAAGGCTTCAGTCCCAGAGCTGGTAGGAGGAGGAGAGGCTAAGTCTTCATTCAGAAATCCTGATCCTTATTTCATTTCTAGAAGTGGGGTGGCTGGGAAATTTGGGCCATTTGGGTCCTTTACCCAAGAGTTTTGAAAATAAAGGATTATAAAGGCTTTTTAAAGTTACTCGGTTATCATGGAGATATTTCCCATTCCTTGAATTTTTTTTTAAACTTGATGTTTTCAAGGAACGTATAGAGAATTTGCTTCCTAACTCAACCAAACAGAAGGATACATAGTGTGTTAGAGACCCTCATGGCCACACTACAAGATCCTAGTAGCCAAGAGAACATGCTTACAATATTGTGAGATAAGCTATTTCCCACTCCCTGAATTGAGTTCAGGAGAGGCAGCAAATAGTAATATCCCCAAGTGGTTTGGCTCTTTGGCACTTTTTTCCAGCTTTTACAGGACCCTTTCCCCCATCATCAGAGCCTGCTTGCTTGTAGAAGCTCCTTCCCTGCAATCAGGTAGCTATGGGCAACCCTAGGCACTGGACTTCTCACAGAATACATAGTTCTCGGAACACGAGACCTACATCACCCAGAGTTCCCTGTCCTCTCTCCTGCAACCTGGGGCTCTAGCGCCAGGGCTTTATCAACCTCTCTCCAGCAGAGTCCCCTGTTCTCTCTAATTTCAGGTTATCGTGATGTCAGGTCATGAGACCATCAGAGTGCTGGAAGTTGGAGTGGATACCCAGCTCCCCATTGAGGAAGAAAGCAAAGGCCTGGAAGGTGTGGCTGCTGAAGGCTCTCAGAGCAGAGGCCCTGCCAAGGCCAGTGGACCCCTTAATGAAGCTGAGCCAAACAACCCAGACTCCTCTGCAGAGGCAGCTGGTACGAGGCCATTGCTGCACTAAATCCCCTTCCTATGGTCACCCTAGGAGCCAGCATGAGCTTTGGGGGGGCCTGGGTGACTAAATTCTTATCTTTTTTTAACCAGGCTGTTCACTTAATCAGTCCCAGAGCTATTCTGTGTTCCTTGTCCCTAAACTAGGATCAGTCCAGCATGAAATGGGGGGAAAGCGATCCATTTAGGGAATCAAATAAGTCTAAACCAGATCCTCAGGCCTAATCCTAGACCTTTTGGGATCCTACCTGCCCTTCTAACTCGGTCCTTTTTATGACAAGAGCTGTAAGGTCCAAGGAGCTGGGGATAGGAGAGCATCTTACCTGTCTCAGATTGAGGATGCAAGTTGAGTAGAAACTTTTAAAAATAACCTTTTTATTGTGATTTGGGAAAAATTCCAGCTCCCTACTTCCAGTTAGACTGGCATGAGCCAAGCCTGGGTAATTTACAGAAGCTTCTCACCCAGAGGCTCTGGTAGCCTCGTGGTAAGAAGTTATACTGCCAAACTGAAGGCAGAGTAGTTCAAATATACTAGCTGTTCCACAGAAGAAAGATGAGCACTCTCTTCCTATGCGGTAGACAGCCTGTATAAACCTGCTGGAGGGTGAGCTGTGAGTTGGTTCCAACTTGACAGCACATAAACCGAGTGGTATGAGCTTGATGCTCGTGCCTATGGCTTATCCACCCACCATTTCTCTCCTCACTTAAGCTGTGTGGCAGCCTTCTGGGGGGGGGACCATGGCACCAAGCATTGCTCTCAGGTCATGGATCACAATCGATTGATGTTTCCCCTTTAACACCCTACAGAGTAGATATATCTTTCTGCAGTAAACTTTGGGTTTTCATTGCCAGTTCCCAGGGCCTACCTTGCTTTCCACTATATTTACCTCTTCACTAGACTGAAAATCTGGTCTGGAGGAGAGGAAGGGATGGCCCCAGAGGGGGAGCCAAGAGAGCAGCTCAGCTTCTGAGTAATAGCAGCTCTCTAACAAGGAAATTTTAAGACTTCACTTTCCTTATTTTACCTGCAGTTCCGTATGCATGTAGAGTCCTAGTTGCCTGGGGTTTGGTTTGGTTTTGTCCCCTCTTTTGAATAAAGGAATTACAGAAGACATTTACCCCAGTTTAGAAATGCTCTACTTTCTTGTTGGGGCCAGGATGGGTTGCCACCTTCTCCCGAGCAGGCGAGGAGGAGAAGGATTCTACACCTCTCCTACCCATTCCATTCAGAATGGCTCTTTTCAGAAACTCTGGGATATTTCCCAGGACGATCCACAGTGCTCTGATTCCCTTGCCATTCTATTATCCATCATCTCTATTTTATATATTTTGATGTCCAGTGTCCTTTTTCTCTACCTTTGTTCTTTATTCAAACCTGCTTTCAGAAGTGTATCCTGAAATCAATTATTTCTACTTTAGTGTGAATGTTTTTGGCAGGAAGCATCTTCTAGAGGTTTGTGTGCTTAAGCCTTTCATGAAAGACTTCTTTGTTAAGGAATTTTCCTCACTCTCAAGAAGGCAATAGGAGTATTTTGATGGTAACTTCCAAGAAGTTCCCAGAAAAATTATTCCACTGAAACAACAATGTCTTGATAGAACCTTCCTGTTGTTGTTGTGTACTGTGGAGTCGGACTCATAGCTGACCTCCAGTGGGTTTTCAGAGGCAGCAAATCACACAGGAGGAGATTGCCCATCTTTCTCACGTGGAGTATCTGGAGGATTTGAACCATGTGCCTTGGAAATTGCAGCACAGCTTTTTACCACTAGGCCACCAGAGCTCTCTGAAACCTTCCTAGGTACACAATATTAAGGAGAGTTTCCTATTATCAAAATAAGACAAAGTCAAGTAATAGAAAACTTTTTCAAAATAAAGAATTTCTTTATGCCACTAAATCACTATCCAGTCTTTGTCACACATACATCTTTTTATTGTGAACAGTGAGGATACATTACTTAGTATGACACTTACCATGATATTTCTTTTTGTTTTGCATGACAAACAAGTACTTATTTCTAAATTTATTTCTTTCTCTTTTTTCCTTATTATTTCATGTACTTATTTTCTTCCTTGTCACAAATTCACACATTTAATATACCAAAGCTTTATGCCTACATTCATTTAATTTTTGGCTATTCCTAGTTTTTCATTGTCATAAATAGCTCCAATTTAAATGTTTTTATACTGATTATTTAAAATATTTTTACTTTGAAATGACCCCATGTACTATAGAATTGGATCACTATCAATCACATACATGTTACTGTGTGCTGAGTTGAAACCGACTCGTAGCTGTTGCTTCAGGAAGTTTTAGAGGCTGTAAATCACAAGAGAGGAGATTGCACATCTTTCTCCTGTGGAGCAGCTGATAGAGTCAAACTGCTTGCCTTTGGGTTTATAGCCACCAGAGATCCTGTGGAAGGACTTGGTTCAGTGCTGAAATTAGCCATCTTAGTTCCTACGTTCTCTTCTCCTTCCTTTACTGCCAGTACTGATAGCAGAAACCAAGCAGTTGTAAGCTTTTCTCTTTCCTCATCCCTTTGTCTTTCTGTATGCACCCAATTAGCCAACTTTTCAAGAGTTAGGTCCATTGATTTCATATCCCATGAATAACTTTTGTCTTGGGTTTGTCACCTAATTAATCAGTGGGTATTCCTTATCCCATCCAGAAACCAAAGGTTTCTCATTCTCTTAATGCTAGTAAGTGTAGACCTTTGCAAAGAATCTCACTATTCTGATACCAATTGTAATAATGATTCCAATAATATAAGTATCAATTAGCCGTAAGAATATAGGGGTCAAAATGCCTCCAGACATGGTTCAAATCCACCAGCTGCTCCACTGGAGAAGGAGGTGCCATCTTCTCCTGTGCCAGTCAGATTTGATTTGATGGTACACAACAACAACAACAACAAAAAGAAAAATGCCTCCACTGTTTAATCTAGCAATTTAGCCCATTATTCTAACAATATACCATTTCTCCAATTCTTCCTGACCTCATACCTCCAGTTGCTGTTTCTTTAGGCTCAAAAATCTAGTTCAGGGAGGGAGTGTTTCTTTTGCTTTTAAAAGAGAGGAGCAAAAAATAAAATAAAAAAGTAAAAAAAAATAAATAAAAGAGAGGAGCAAACTGGGGAAGGGGAGGGCTGGGCGGGGAGAGAAGTGCAGCAATGAATGAATGAAAATCCAAAATCTCTGTAAATGTTCATTAAAATTATTTAAAAAAATAAATATGAAACACTATTAAAAGGGAAAAAAATCTAGTTCACGAGAAGCTCATGTTGCTTGAGGCTGTAGCTGTCTTAAATGTTGTTGTTGTTGTTATGTGCAGTCGAGTCGCTTGCAACTCATAGCAACCCTATGTACAACAGCCCTAAACTCTGCTCTGTCCTGTGCCAATCGCACTGTCTCTGACACTCCCATCCCAATTATCCCAGTCACGGAATCAATCCACCTCATAGAGGGCCTTCCTCTCCTGCGCCGTCCCTCCACCCTCCCAAGCATGATGTCCCTCTCCAAGGACCGGTCTCTCCTCACAACATGTCCAAAGTATGTTAGAAGGAGCCTCAGAATCCTTGCCTCCAAGGAGCCACCCGGTTTAACCCTTTCCAGGACAAATCTGTTTGTTTTCCTAGCAGTCCATGGTATTCTCAATACTCTTCTCCAGCACCACAGCTCAAAGGCATCAGTTCCAGATGCAAGCCTCCTTTCTTGGAGTGCTGGACCACAACTCCAGGGGAACTAAGAGTGGTGATTGGGCCATGCCTTTTCTAGCAGTTGTTGTATGTCAGGTTGGAGCCAACTCATAGCTGACCCTTCACCCGTGGCCCTTCAGCTGTTTACAGAGGCAGTAAGCCTCACAGGAGGATATTGCCTATCTTTCTCCCATGGAGCGGCTAGTGGATTTGAACCATGTGCCTTTGGAATTGTAGCACAGCTTCTTTCCACTCAAAGACAATGGTCTAAGGAATCCAAAAGTTTCAACAAATCCTACCACAGCTCCTCATCCATAAATCTGGTGTTGTGGGCTGTTGAGTCAGAACTGAGTCATAGCTGACCCTCCAGTTGCTTGTTAGAGGTGGTGACTTGCACAGAAGGCGATTGCCTATCTTTCTCCCAGAGAGCTGCTGCTGAATTCGAGTCACATGTCTTTGGGTTGGCAGCGCATCTCTGCACCACTAAATGGCCAGAGGTCCCTATCCATAGATGTAATTATTGTTTAATGCCATCAAGTCTAAACTAACTCACAGCTGATCCTCCTGTGGGTTTTTAGAGGCAGTTAATCACACAGGAGGATATTGCCCACCCGTCTCTGATGGAGCAGCTGGTGGATTTGAACCTTATGCCTTTGGGATTACAGTGTAGCTTCTTACACTAGGCTCCCAGAGCTCCCATCAATATATGTACTCCCCTCATAGTTCTTTTCAAAAGAAATATAGGATATTTTCACCTGAAAGAATAAAATCATATAAAAGTTAGAGAAAAAGTAATGACTTACTGTACTGTATGCCTATCATACCAGAAAAATTAATTATAAGTTCTAGAACTTAGATGGGGTGTGTTGTAATAAAACAGGCCCATTGTTGATGGTTTAGTGAATTGGTCTAGCCTTTTGGAAAACACAGGCCAGCCATATGCCATCAAACCAGAACATGAAAGACTTTGAGCCCTGTGGTGTTACTTTGGAAATACACCCTAATAAAAGAAATATTTTCTGTCTCAGATGGTAAACTTTTAATATATTTTTCAGATTTCCATTTTCTCACATTTTCTATCTCATCTCTTTTTATTATTTTATCATTTTGTTAAGTAAAATGTTTTTTTTTAAATGTGTTCCGTTTAACCTCTGATATTATTCTGATTTTTCTCAATACCTAGACTTGTACAGAGAAGATAAATCTGCCATTTTATTTTCTCATAGTCTTTTGTAAGAGCTGTTATTGTTACTTGCTTAGCTCTTCAGTTCAAAGATCTGGATTTTATTGTAGTATGAGTAGTATAGTTAGATTGGAGTCCTTCCAAATTAGAAGCATGGGCTAGCATTGCAGGGTTGGAAGGAACTCTGATTACATAATTAGTGGTTCCTGTTCCTCACTGCACACTTTATCACAAACCCAACCCAACCCACTTCCTCAGAGTTGATCACAACTCATAGCAATGCTGCAGAAGAGAACAAAATTGCCTCACCAGGTTCCTGAGGCTGTAAATCTTTACAGGAGCAGACTGCCTCTTTTTTCCCCCTACAGAGCAACCGGGGAGTTTGAACTGCTGATCTTTAGAGTAGGAGTGTTGCTTAACCCATGATGCCCTCGGAGCTCCTGTGCTAGATCACAAGGGAACTTTAAAGAAAAAAAGAGGACACTGGTTTTCACTCTTGGACATTCTGATTCCATGGGCCTATTTTGTTCTTGTTTCATGTCATTGACTGAACTCTGGACCCACACACCACACATCACAACCTGCTGAATCCTGTGCCATCTTCACAGTCTCCATCGGGCTTATGCTTTGTTGCAGTCACTCTGTCCCTCCATCTCATTGAGAATCCTCCTCTCCTTTATTGACCTTCTACTTTTCCAAGCATAATGTCCTTTTCCTGCAATTCCAAGTAACCTGCCTAAAATATGTGAAGATGAAGTCTCATCATCCTTGCCTCTAAGAACCTATCTTAGGTTCTAGAATCTATGCCCAGTCAGTATTAAGAAACCACTGACCTGGTCAAACACCTCTCACCTAGTACCTAGATTCACTAGATGTTTAATTAAAAACCTCCTTCGTGTAGTGTGGCAGTGAAGAAGTTTCCTGGTGAGCACACCCCAATACCTAAATAGATTAAAGTATCAAGAGGACCTGCAACTTGGATGGAAAGCTCCAGTTCACCCACCGGAAGCTCCTTTAAAAATTCATAGAAGCTGCTCATCTTGACTTAAACCTCAGGGAATAGCAGAGAAAAAGCTGGCTAGCCAGGCCCTATGTTCCTACAGTATGGCAAAGACATGTTTTCGTTTTCAAGGACTGCCTATTCCAGAAATTTGCCCTGCAGGAATTCCTGCCCTTCCCCAAGTTAGTTGAGATCCAGCAGGTTTTCAGAGGCAGTAAATTTTACAGGAGGAGATTGCCCATCCTTCTCCATGGAGCAGTGGTGGATTCGAACCTCTTGCCTTTAGAATTGAAACAAGGGTTTTTACCACTAGGCCACCAGAGCTCCTTTCTTAAGCTGGTATCTGCCAGTATCTAAAAAGTACCCAGAAGATGGAGTGGTAAGGTCCCTCAAGGTGATTAATGACCCATTGCTACTTGAGCTGAAAGAAGCTGCTTTTACCTGATTCTTGTCCCTTTCCTCCCTGGCACACCTTTATGCTGGACCTCTCTTCCTGACTGATTGGTCACAGTGTCTTTACAGACCCAAGTCCAGGACATGAAGACTGTGCTGAGTTCTAAATATTCCCCATATAGATGTGGGAAGAGAATTAGCAGTTTCTAGGTCTGGCACAGAGTTCCCTGGCTCCTGTTCTCACTCCCAGTGGCATTTGAAGAACTGCCTCACGGGCCAGGGAAGACTAACAATCAGTCAGTCAAGGGAGTACACACAAATATAACAAAGGGCAGAAAGCTCTGCAAACTGCAAATAAGATGTTCTACTCCAGTACCCCTCCACTCACATCGGGCTTACTCCATGATATCCTTCTTTCTTTCAATGTCCTGTGAAGTGAAGTCACTTCCAGAGATCCCGCCGAGTCCTGCCCCTGCTGTTGCTACCTTCAGCCAAGCCCCAAGCCAGCCTCAGGCATCGCAGACCCTGACGCCACTGGCTGTACAAGCTGCCCCCCAGGTAAGCACCACCTAGAGATTGGGACAGAGGGCAGTGGGCTCGAGTAAGGCATAGGACAGTATGGGACAACCATGAGATCTGGGAGTGCCACCTGTCAGGACTGAGGGGAGGGGCTGAGACTCAAGGGAGGGTACTTGCTTTCAGGCTCCCTGACTTCTCTGCCCCAGATCAGGTCCATTTGTCGGGTGACCTCCTAGGGTCCAGCAATGATTGTAAAAAGTCCATTAACTCTCTCTAGACACTCGAGTTTCTGTTTGTTTGAAGGATAAACAGTCTGTTTATCTGACTGATGGAGTCCTGTCAGACCCTCCAATAGAGGCCTGGAAGAATTAATGGATAGTTCATACAGCCCTCACTCAGAGCCAGGGAGCAGCCCAGCACAGTGAGAAGCAGCCTCTAAGAGCCTTCAGGCCTGCTGACTTCTCTGGGGCCTGTTGCTCCACACACAGACCTCCAGGCATCTACTTATGGGTATCCCTCATGAGAGCTTTTCCTCAGAGGTCTCTGTGGACCCTTTAACATTTGGTTCCACTCCCTGCTCCGTGACCACAAAGCATTGGCCCTGTGGACAGTGACAGGGGTAGGCTTGGGAAGAGGCCTGTGTACCCTTCCTTTCCTGTGAACAGGGCTGGGCCCTGACTTCTGTTTTGGGCTACTTCTCTGAAGGCAGGATAGGCCCACCTATGCCTCCCCTCAGGGTCTTTCCCTACCCTCACGCTGCCTTTTTCCCACTGCCCTCAGAATGCTTTATTTGTGCTCAACTGGGTCTAAGAGTCCCAGTGTTTGCGCTATTGATGTTGATTTTTTTTTTATTTTTTTTCTTTTTGAAATCTTGTTTGCTTTTGCAGGTCTTGACTCAGGAAAACTTAGCCACAGTTCTGACAGGAGTTATGGTTCCAGCAGGGGCAGTTACTCAGCCTCTTCTTATCCCCATCAGTATTGCAGGTCAAGTGGCTGGTCAGCAGGGGCTGGCCGTGTGGACAATTCCTACAGCAACCGTGGCTACCCTCCCAGGACTGACCGCTGCCTCTCCTACGGGGGGAATTTTCAAGCCACCTTTAGCCGGTCTCCAAGGTAACAGCAGCTCTCCCCAGGACTGCATCAGGCCCCCCACCACCCCATACTACCATCCCTGCACGTGTGCTTGCCATGCTGGACTCAGAACATGTGACCCACCCGGGGCAGCAGCCCCAGAGCCTGATCCCCGGCACCCAGCCACAGAGCCTCCGCAGCGACTCAGGACTCTAGGCCAAGACACCATGCTGGCCCAGCTGACCCCTCTTACATCATCCAGCCGTCTGAGACTGCCCCTCTGCCCCATGCCAGAGCTCACCCATGGCCAGCCTCCTGAGAAAGACTGCAAGAAGAATGAACATCTGCTTCTTGAACCTACACGTCTCCAGGCACAAAGGAGGGGAGATACCAGACATTGCCACATGCTGCCCCCTGCGAGGATCAAGGGATTTGCTGCTGCCTGCCCCATGCCCCATTCCTCCCAGCCTCTCGATTCTGGTGCCAGACCCTTGGGATTGGAGCTGTTTTGGACTGTGGCTAGGCATTTGAGCACCTCTGTCTCTGCCTTGCTCCGTAGCAGCTGCCGTGCTGAACACCGCTCTTCCGGCACCTGTTCAAGCTGCCCCACCAGTACAGGCATCTTCGCCCGCCCAGCCTCGGCCACCAGCCCAGTCCCAGCCACTGTTCCAGGCCCAGCCACTGCTGCAGACTACACCTGCCATTCTACCGCAGCCCACCGCTGCCACCGCTGCTGCCCCCACCCCCAAGCCAGTGGACACCCTTCCACAGATCACCGTCCAGCCTGCAGGCTTCGCATTTAGCCCAGGAATCGTAAGCTGCTGCCCTCACCTGCTGACCAGGGATGGATGAATCTTGGCCCAAGGGTGGAACTGACCCTTTCCAAAGGGGAGGAAGGAGGTGGAGGACCAGCCCTTTGACTACAGTAGCCTTTTACCAACCCTTCAGCAGAGATGGGCTTCTTCTGAGGCCTTTTTGCAGCTACCAACCCATCCCAAACACAGACAACTTCTGCCCAGAGGTCTGAGCAAATTCTCCAGAACTGAACCCACAGGACCAGCCTCAAAGGGTGGGAAATGGGGGTTTCTGACTTGGAAGCTATTGCCAAAGTACAGACAGAGACTCATGGCCATTCAGACATTATCTTATTGTCTAGTGTGGCTCCTGACTTGCAAGTGGGAGCTATTAGATATATGACTAGACTCACATCAGCCTTTCTGGGCTGGCCCTTCCATTGTCTCAGGGCTAGCCCGAAAGATTAGCCAGGGTTGCTCTTACCTGACTGTAGTAGTCACATTGATCCCTGCTGACCACTGACAGCCCCGAGCCAGGATACTGTCCAGTTGGTAGGCATGGGCTTGCGGCCCACATGCACACTTGCCCAGCATGCTTGTCTCCCTACTCCAGTGCCCTCAGGTCTCTCCCCCTCTGCTTTGGGCTTCTTCTTGCTCCTTACCCTCTAAGCATGGCTCTTCCTCCACCCACAGATCAGCGCTGCTTCCCTCGGGGGGCAGACTCAGATCCTGGGCTCCCTCACTACAACTCCAGTCATTGCCAACGCCATTCCCAGCATGCCGGGGATCAGCAGCCAGATCCTCACCAATGCTCAGGGACAGGCAAGTGGTCAAAGCCAGGGGATGGGGCAGGGCTATGGAGGCTGGGACTTTGGCTAAACATCATTAGATCCTGGGGTCAAGCTGCTATTCGCATCTCTCTCTTTTTTTTTTTAAATTTTATTATTTTTGTGTGCGTGTACCGTCAAATCAGATCTGACTGGTACAGGAGAAGATTGCCCCTCCTTACCCGGCAGAGCATCTGGTGGATTCGAACCGTGCACCTCTGGGATTGTAGTTGCAGCTTCTTGCCACTAGGCCACCAGAGCTCCCCTATATTCGCATCTCTTGTGGTGGCTCTCAGAGGATGTTGAATTAGGCAGGGACTCCGCCACACCCTGCCCTACAAGCACTCACTTTAGGGAGGCTTAGTTTTGGAGGATGGACTTTGTGGCCACTTTCTGTACTAGACTAGACACTTTCTCACACATTGTTTCCCGTTGGGTTTTTTGGTTTTGTTTTATTTTATTGTGTTTTTGGTGAAAGTTTTTACACAACAAATTAGGTTCTCATTTGGCCTTTTCTATCTAAGTTGTTCGTGACATTACTTACTTTTTTTCACAGTGAATCAACTTTCATATTGAGTTCTGGTAGTTCTAGATCTCACTTTGAGTACAGATCTGCTGTTGTTGTTGTGTACCATAGAGTGGGAGCCGACTTATCTCTGACCCTCCAGTGGGTCTTCAAGGCAGTTAATCACACAGGAGGAGATTGCCCATCCTTCTCCTGCAGGAACAGCTGGTGGATTCAAACTACTTGCCTTCGGGATTGCAGTGCGGCTCCTTGCCACTAGGCCACTAGTGCTCCCTACAGATCTGTTAGATAGAGATATTTTTATTCTCATTTTACAGAGGAGAAGGCTGAGGCTCAGAGAATTTAAGCCACACAGATAAAATGTGCAGAGCAGGGATTTGCCCCCAGTTCTTTCTGAGTCTATTTCCAGACCTGTTTCTGCTCCATTACAGCTCTGTAGGTGGAATAAAAGAAGCAGCTCCCAGAGTGTGTTTGCTTCACTTTTGATGAGGAAAGTGAGGCCCAGAGAAGTTAAGAAATTTGTCCAAGTTGGTCTTGCCCCTGCCAGTGTGGGGGCTTGGGAGGGGGAGTGGAGTGGAACCTGCCTTCACTCCTGAGGTCCAGACCTTATTTTCCTCCAGGTTATTGGAACACTTCCATGGGTAGTGAACTCGGCTAGCATGGCGACCCCAGCACCAGCCCAAAGCCTGCAGGTCCAGGCTGTGACACCCCAGCTATTATTGAACGCCCAGGGCCAGGTTATTGCAACCTTGGCCAGCAGCCCTCTGCCTCCACCCGCAACCATCCGGAAGCCAAGCACTCCTGAGTCTCCTGCTAAGAGTGAGGTACAAGGGCTGGGGTGTGGCAGGTAGTATTGTCTGGGATGGACTGTTTCCCTCCAGGCTATTGAGGTCCTTGGGAGAGCAAGCACTTCTCCAAAATGAGGGCCGATCCCAGGGTAGGAGGCCCGCGTGAGTCCATGCATGCTCTGCCTGGGGAAATGGCACTCCAGCCTCTACCCTTACACAACAAAATCTTGTGTATGCATTCTCAGAGTTGAGTGCAGTTCTGAAGAGGCCATGGAGGTTGTGGTCAGAGTAATAGCCTGGATCAGTTCCAGATCAAACAGCTGCAGGAAGAAAATTTTAGAGGTTATCCCTGCCCCCTCTTCTTCACCCTTCTTTCTTTCCACTCCGTGCTGTGCCCTTGCTTAGTCACTTATTTGTTCATTTTAGGAGGAGGGGTGTGTGTGATAGGAGCTGTGCTACTAACCCAAATGTAGCCCCTCTCTATAAGGTCAAATTTACCAGCAACTCTGAGGAGAAAGATGGGAAGTCTCCTATATGGGATTTACAGTCTCCAAAAATCCTTTGGAGGGTCAGCGATAAGTCAGTTCCAACTCAATGGCAGTAATTGTTTGAGTTTTTGTGTTTTAGAGTTTGGTTTTATTTTACTGTATTCCAGCTACTGAAAATAGAAGCATGACTAAGACACCTTTCTTAGCCTTAGGTAGCCCAGTTTTAGGCAGCTTCAAGTCATTGTGATAAATTATGATTACAGTTGCTATTAAATTGACTTCAACTTAGGCCAACTCCATGTTGTCAGAGGACAATTTATGCTCCAAGACTAATTTTTTAGGACCTTTTTTCCAAGGCATTTCTGGATAGACTCAAACCTCCAACCTTTCCATTAACAGCTGAGAATGTAACTATATGCACCACACAGAGACTTCAGAGACTGATAAACCTCTGAACAACTAAACTACACTCATCAGTGTCAAGGGAGTTCCAGTTTAGGGCAGCCCTCCAGTGGGTCTCTGAGGCTGTAAATCTTCATAGGAGGAAGTTGCCCATCTTCCTCCCAAGATGCTGCTGGTGGATTTGAACCACTAGCCTTTTGGTTTGCTGCTCATCATCTAACAACCACATCTGTTGTGTATTGTCGAGTTGGAACCAACTCATAGCTGACCCTCTGGCTGGTCTGTCAGAGGCAGTTAATTGTGTGGGAGGAGATTACTCTTCTTTTTCCCATGGAGAAAGTAGCAGATTTGAACAGAATAGTGGTGAAGAAGCTGCATTGCAATCCCAAAGGCATGTGGTTTGAATCCACTAGCTCCTGCAGGAGAAGGATAAGCAGTCTCTTCCTGCGCAATTTACTGCCTCTGAAAACCTGTTGGAAGGTGAACCATGGGTTGATTCCAACTCAACAGCTCACAACCACCACCACCACCACCTTTGGACTGGCAATGGCCCTCTTTACCACTAAGCCAATAGGGTGCTCTTAGGACTATAACAGGGCATGAATAATGTACTTTGGTAGCCCAAAGAAGGCAGCCTTTTTTTTTTACAGACTTTACAGACTTCACTGTTAGCAAGGCTTCATAGAGAAGGGACTAATTGGACTAATTAATCTGGAGATGAATTTAAGGAAGGGCATTCCAGACATAGGCCCAGGCAGAGTTACATGAGAGAGCAGGCCAGCATTAGGGCACTGTACGTGTGCCAGAGCTGTGGCCCACAAACGAGTGTGATCAGAATCTGCACACCTTGCACGGCAGGTTGGGACACGAATGCCAAGGTTCTATCCACAGAATTTCTTATTCAGTAGATCTAGAGTTGTGGACCCAGCATTTCTAACTGGTTCCCAGGTCATGTTGAAGCCGGTGATGCTCAAATGTGGCACACTGCTTCTGAGTTTTGTAAATAACCTCTTATCATTATTTGTAAAGTGGAAATTATGAGAGTAACAACTTCAGAAGCAACAGTTCTGATGGTGCCAGGTAAGCTGCTACAGCTGCTCTCTGGGAGAAAGACGAAACGGCCTCCTCTCATAGACATTTACAGCCTGGAAATCCTGTGGGACAGCTCTGCGCTGTCCTGTAGGGTCACTCTGATTTGGAATCAACTCAGTGGTACTGGGTAACTTCAGAAGGTTATCATGAATGTCTAAGTACTTTCTGTGGCTTCTTCTTGTCCTCAAATCAAGTCAGTTCCAACTCCTGGTGACCCAATGTGTGCAGAGTAGAACTGTCCTGTCGGGTTTTCAGGGCTGTGACCTTTTGGAAGCAAATTGCCAACCTTTTAGCTGGTAGTGGAGTGCTTAATTGTTGGCATCACATAAGTAACCAACTCGGTGTACTAGACAGAATACTAATTGCCTTGCCAGTGATAAGCGGCTGCTCTCATTGTTATTGCTATCACTGTTGTTGTATACCATTGAGTCAGAACTAACTCAGAGCTGACCCTCCACTGGATTTTCAGAGGCAGTAAATCTCAAGGGAGAAGATATATTGCCCATCTTTCTCTTGTGGGGCAGCTGGAGGAGCCTAACCGTGTGCCTTTGGCTTGGCAGTGCAGCTCCCTACCTACCACTAGGGCACCAGACCTCCCTATTGCTATCATTAGGTAACGGAAGTCTCTGAAAAAGATTTTAGCAGGGAAATGAAAAGTTGAATTTGCTTTTTTAAAAAAACAAAACAAAAAACAGCCCTTTGTTATCCAGATAGAACCAGGAACTAGATAGGAGAAGACTTGAGTCCTCATTTCGAGTTGTTGTTCGATGCATCGAGTTGGCCCAAGATTCATGGCAACCTCAAGTACAGTGAAATAAAATGAATCCCTGCGAATGGTTGTGTATCGAACCATTGTGATCTGTAGGGTTTTCACTGACTGGTTTTTAGAAGGAGTTTCTCAGTCCTTTGGATTGATGCGGTGACTGCTGCTATGGGCTCTAGTGTGTCAGGAAGAGTGAAGATGGTTCAGATCCGTTGTTCATAGGGTCGCTCTCAGTTGTGCTCCGCTTGATGGCACCTAATAACAACCCCAGTCCTTATTTCCTAATTAGTCTTAGTTTATCTGGAAGCTTGGTTGAAACCTGTCCAGCATCATTTACACCACCACTGACAGACAGGTGGTGGTTGTGCCTGAGGTCCATTGGCCAGAACTAAACTTGGGTCTCTCACGTGGAAGGCAGGCATTCCGCTGGTGAACCACTAATGCTCTCACCATCACCTGTTAGGAGGCAGTTTGAATAGTTCAAACAAGAGAAGAGAGAAGGAGCTCAGAACAAAAGAAAGCACAAGCTCTGGGAATAAGGAGAAGGTAGACACTATACCATCAAATCTGAGGACAGGATTCACACTGGGGAAACTTTCTAGGGAGCTGTTGTTAGCAAACTAAAAATATAGCAGTGTCCCAATTCTGCTGCTTTGCTCTTATGAAAAATCTGTTTTCGTTAACTGCAAGAAATCCGAAAAGGATTTTTACTTTTACTAAAAAAAGGCAGAAAGTGAAACCGGTGTTCAGTGTTTCTTTCAGAGCAAGACTTTAAATAAAGAGGCAACATATACCCCTGACCAGTGAAAGTGGTGTGGCCCAGCCTCTTCCTGGGGAACCACACTCAGCATCGAGCTCCGTGGCTTTGAACTGGATCTAGGCACCCTGTGAGTTAGTGTGATTTTAGGTTTGATATGTTACTTGGTATGATTTGGAGGATTGTTTTTCAAGTCTGAGAATGCTAACAAATTTTCCCATATAAATTAGCCACAATTATTTATGAAAAATTTCATAGGAATGCTATACTTTTGAAGAACAGAGGAAAATCTAGTTTCTCCTGATTTTTTTAAAAAAAGACAATTTTTTTTTTATATTCTAGCATTATATATAATGTAAAAATAAAAATCTCCTTTAATTCCACCCATGAAGATTCCCTCAGTTCAGAACTTGCTTTATATGCGTCAGGATTTTTCTTCTTGTAAATTCATAGATGCTCTTAAAGAGAATTTATTCCATGAAAATTGTATTGAAAATGGCTTTTTTTCACATAGCAAAGAAATTTTCCTTGTTAGCTGTTAAGAGTTATACTGTATTCTTTTGAGTGGCAGCACAGTTCGGAGAGGCCCGAGTATTTATTTCCCCATTTCCCTAGTCATGGACATTTGGGGCCCAGAAAGCCCTAGAATCAAATTCTGATTTCTCCCCTGAGGTGAGAGATTTAAGATCAATCCTCACAAGTGTGGGTAACTGTTGGAACTTTGAGCAAGTGAGGTGAACCTTTCTGATCTCCCTGGATGACAGGAGATTGCAAGACCCGCCTTGGTTGGGTGTGTTGCTGTGCTTCCTCGGATGGCTGTTCTGGGTGGGTGCTGGGAAGCAGCTTCTGGCCATACCATCTGATGGGGCACAGGCAGGAAAGAGTGTGCTGATAAAGGAGAATTTCATGCCCTGCCTCTGGTCCAACCTGCTGTGCAGGACAGGTGGGCCACAGAGGCTTGTTGGCTCTCTTCTGATAGGTGCAGCCCATCCAGCCCACGCCAGCAGTACCCCAGCCCACCGTGGTCATTGCCAGCCCAGTCCCAGCGGCCAAGTCGTCTGCTTCTGCTCCTATCCCAATTACCTGCTCAGAGACTCCTACCGTCAGCCAGCTGGTGTCCAGTAAGTGGGTACTAGAGGTAGAATTGAGGAAGGGAGGTATTTTGGGGATACTCTAATCTCTTATCTGTTCTCCTTGAACTTCCAGAGTCTAAAATGGGAAGTGGAGAGGCCCGATGCCAGCAGTTGGCTTTCTCATTCCCATTCCTATTGAGCTGGATTCTGGGCATGATGATGGTGGAAGCTGTTCTGCTGGCAGTCAGGCAGCTTCTCTGGGAGGCCAAACCACTGGCTGCCTTAGCTTTGTTCTCTCATTCAGTTTGTGAGGAATGTGGGTGGCCAAGAAGAGTACTTGGGGCCTAGAATAGGGGTGGCGGGGAAGGATAGGCAGTGAGAACCAAAGATAGACCCCCTGCTCTGGGCTGGTTGTTCCTGGTGCCCTCCACCCAGGCTGTGTTTGGGATCCCTGGGACAAGGATGAGGAGGAGATGAACACTACAGAGCTTTTTGCCACCATTCTCTTCCTTCACTGCTGTGCCAGGGTCAGGCATGTGAGCCAGGTATGCAATGACGATTCTCATCTCATACATTCACCCCGGTCCTTTTCTCTGGCCTAGAGCCACATACCACAAGTCTGGATGAGGATGGAATCAATTTAGAAGAGATCAGGGAGTTTGCCAAGAACTTTAAGATCCGACGGCTTTCCCTGGGCCTCACTCAGACCCAGGTGGGTCAGGCTCTGACCGCGACAGAAGGCCCAGCTTACAGCCAGTCCGCCATCTGCAGGTAAGTGACGTGACCCAGGATCAGACCTTGGTATTGGTCCTACCTCATGCCATTGGAAACTCATGGGTACCCAGTGTCTGGCCCTTCCTATAGTCTCGCTTCCCCATGCCTCCTCCTCTGTCTACCAAAAGGTAGACATGAACACCTGCAGTAGCCAAAGACCAACCAAGTTTCTTTAGTGGCTCTCTAGTGCATCCTCCAGTTCCAAGCATTTCCGTATTTTTCTTTGGGGAACCCAAGACCTTCATCCATTCAGGGATCACACTGGAGTCTCATCCAGGCTCAACCAGAAAGAGTGACTATTGAAGTTACTGCTGTGACAGTGTCCTGGAGGAGGGCAGCACTTATGATGTCCATTTGCCATGATGGCCTCTCACGATGACTTTTTGGTGGACTTCACTCAATTGAGTGTAAAAGTTCCAGAGTGATTATTTTTGTTATTAGTCTTTGATTTTTAAATTGTGATTTGAGGACAAGTTTGCAGAGCAAATTAGTTTTTCCTTTTTAAAAAATTTTTTTTTAATTTTTTTATTATTTTTGTGTGTGTGTACCATCAAATCAATCTGACTGGTAGAGGAGGAGAGTGCCCCTCCTCCAGCAGAACATCTGGTGGATTCAAACCGTGCACTTCTGGGATTTCAGTGCAGCTTCTTGACACTATGCCACCAAAGCTCTCTGCAAATTGGCTTTTCATTCAACTATTCATACACGTTTTGTTTAAGAACATTAATTACAATACCTCTAATGTGATTGTCCTTTTCTTACTTTCTCCTTGTAATTCTCGTTTCCATGAATCCTTCTGTCCTACCTATTACTGCTTTAGGCTTTTGTCTTTGGACAAATACCACTCTTCATTTTCTATGTCTGATTATTCTAAGGAGTGAATGTTATTGTGAGGACAATCCCTGGTGTTATTGGTCTCCTTTTAGGCCTGTCTGTTGTTTGACGGAAAGTTGAGCCATGAGGGGTGAGTTTTGTTCAGATTTGAAGGGTGCTGTAGCCTTGGGAGTTCTACCAGTTTCTATTGGACCCGTAATCCTGGCCTTTCTATTTTTTTTTTAATTCATTGTTGTACCTTTTTCTTCCCTCCCCCTCCCCAGGGCCACTTTGTAGTGTACCTCTTGTTCCAGATTGTAAGTCTGGCCTTTCTAATGGAGTGGTTTAAAAAGTAGTTGCAGTATCATCACACCACTGAACTGAGGCTGAGGGATGGCCTCCCTATTGGGACCTGGGATGCAGGAAGGAGAGTCAGAGGAGTCTGGGCTTAGTTGGGCTGGGGGTGGTGGGTGTCTCAGTAGAGATGTAAGGTGAACAAGAGAAGCCCCTTGAAGGTAGTGCTTACACCTACATGAGAGGTTTGCTGAAGGGACTGAAACATTCTTACTGTCTCTTCCTGGGCTTGGATTGTCCACAGGTTTGAGAAGCTGGACATCACACCCAAGAGTGCTCAGAAGCTAAAACCAGTGCTGGAGAAGTGGCTGAATGAGGCTGAACTCCGGAACCAGGAAGGCCAGCAGAACCTGATGGAGTTTGTGGGAGGTGAGCCCTCCAAGAAACGCAAACGCCGCACCTCCTTCACCCCCCAGGCCATAGAGGCCCTCAATGCCTACTTCGAGAAGAACCCACTACCTACAGGCCAGGAGATTACAGAGATTGCTAAGGAGCTCAATTATGACCGTGAGGTCGTGCGGGTCTGGTTCTGCAATCGACGCCAGACGCTCAAGAACACCAGCAAGCTCAATGTCTTTCAGATCCCTTAGGACTCAGCCCCTGCCATGTGTTCCAGCACTTTGTCGGTTTCCCTTGGCACCTAGCCACGGCAGCACCTGTCAGTTCGCCACATGCAGCTGTGCTTGTCCTGGGTCGTGAGACTCCACTGTGTGTGCATGTGTGTCAGATGCCTCCTCTCCCCCCCAAATACCCACATGATGGGGAGCGCAGAAGGGCCATTCTGACGGCTCGGGGCTGGTCACACCCAGGATAGGGATTCATGGTGTCATGGTATCATTGGAGAAGCACTTTGCTAAGGTGGATTTGCTGGAGGGTGGATTTTGGGTGGGAACCAGACACAGCCCTCTTTGGGACAGGGTTGTAGCAGCTCCTAAAGCCCGCTGGCTACTAACTCTTCTTTATGATGGTGTTCTGTTTCCAGCCCCATTTCTCGGCTCCTATGTATTAATGTGGCTGGTATAGGCAGCTCATCCAGTGGGAACACAGCCTTGTATCTTCCCTTCCTTTGCTTGAAGGCACTGCCCTCTTGAAAGCACTTAAGACACAAAATATAGAAAAGTGTCATGTGCTCAAGGTCAGATCCAGAAACTGTCAGTTTCATGGTTGATGTTCCCACAGGCCTGGGACCAGAATATTTGACCTCTCCCCTCTTGGGGAAAATTGCACTAAAGCCGATTTTAAAAACAAATGACAACCCAGCTCATGTTGGAAGGAGGCAGTAGTGAATTCCAGTTACCCTGGGGTTGAACTTGGTTTGCTGCAGATCAGGAATTTAGGAAATAATACCATCTCCACAGATTTTCATCTAGTCCCATCCCTGGCCACCCCACAACAAAAGAGCATAGGCAAGAGAGCTTACAGCCTGGAACAATCTCACTGCCCAAGCAAGCTCTGGAGAAAAACAAGGAAAGAAGTGTTGACACTCCTCCCACCCCTACCCTTACCCAGTACCGGGAGCATCTCAGAGGAGCAGATTAAGTAGTAATGCTGAACACTAAGACCCTGGTGGAAAGGACAGCTTCCAGAATGAGCTGATAAAGGTCCAGGAGTGTCTCTTATAAAGGATGACTTAACTCAAATTTTCTTTGTAACTTTAAGCCTTGGATACTAAAAAAGAAATTGTATTTTGTTCAGATTCATAGACCATATGTGTGTGTGTGAATAAAATCTCAGTGCTTCTCTAAGTCAAGAACACTTCCAGATCAGGAGGGATTTTGCCTCCAGAGGGGGTAGCTCTGGTATATTGGGGTTGGCATCTCATCCAAGCTGCTATGTGAGCTTCCTGGCTGTAACTGGATAGTCCTTAGAACTCAGTGTGTGACTCCAGGAAGTCAGGAGAGAAGAGAGTTCTGACTTGTTCGGTAGATCCTGAGCAGACTGTTCCCTAAGGACCGTAAGTCACAGGGGTCAGCTACCCTTCCACTTCACTACTCTTTGGGCTCTGCACTTTGTTTGATCCATCCTAAGGGAGTGACCACCAGGCCAAAGGCACGTGAGCACCTTTGTGGGTCATGGGTGTGAGCCACCTCCTAGCCCTGTCTCCTCTGTGTGCTGCTTCCTGCCTACCAATGGTCCCTCGCTGGCCTTGTGGTGCCGGTGTGACCACCCTCTTGGTCAATGAGAAGAGGACAGTTGTATGCCCAGTTACCCCACTTTCCCTCTCAGTTGGACAGATCAGACCTGCCGGAGTTGGAGGGGGGTTGAAGGGTGCAACAAATAGATGGGTACCTTGCCTGACTCAGCTTCCCAAGAGAATCTATGTCTTTTGGGTAAAAATAATTAGAATACTAATGTGTATCAAGGAGTCAGTGACTTAACACTTTAATGAATTAGATTCAGGTTCTCACTTTCAAATCATTCGTATTGAGATATGCTTCATTTCTTGAGGCAGAAGAGACAAACGGATACAGCTACTGCCCTGAGAATAGAATGTAATCCAAGGTGTCTCCCTGGCAGTGGTCATGCAGAAAAATGCCTTGTGCCCTGTATCCTGGCAAGAGATCAACTGCAGGTCTCAGTAAGGACTGGCCATGCTTTCTTAGCCCCTTCCTCTAACTTTGTTTTTACCCCTGGACTAGTAGTACTAAACCATCTTCTCCACTGCTAGGCTGGGTCATTCTTTCAGTGGAGCACTGCCTGGGGCAAGATGTTCCCCAGGCAGAAGATACAGGAGGAGGTGAGTCCACAGGGAAGCAGCAGGGCCTGCGCTTCTCCCTGGGGTGTGTGTGTGTGTGTATGTATGTGTGTGTGTGTGTGTGTGTGTGTGTGTGTGTGTGTGTGTGTGATCAGGCTCTGAAGGGAATTGGAATAAATTCTGTCAGAAAAACACCTTTCTGGATTTAACTCCAGAGTTCAGTGGTTCCCTTATGTTGGAAAGGCAGGAGAAGAGACAGAACTGGCTTACTATATATATTTGGGTGTGTGTGTGAAGAAGACCAAATCTTTCTTGGGCTGGTAAACCAGCTGGGAGAGCCTTTGGCCTTGCACTAACCATGACTTTTCGTCCAGGTGGGGTCCAGGGAGAGAATTTGGCTAAATGGACTGAGGAATATACTGGAGTTTGCAAGAGAGACCCTAACGTGTGTTCTAGGGACCCTCACCACCTTGTTATGCCCAGAGTTCACTCCTGCTCCTGTGCTAAGCTCTGACACAGAGGTCCCGACTCTGCCCCCAGCATGGGGCCTGCTGAGGACTAGAGAGAGGGTCTGGGAGGACTGAGAGGGGAGAAGCACTTGGTGTAGTTGTGTGGAATAAACAGTATTTTTTTCTTTTGTATTGGTCTGCTTGTTTCTTGTTCTCCTTTCAGAATGGGAATATGAAGAAAATGTTTAAAGGGGCAGGGTGCTAGCTGTTTTTGCTGTCAGAGAATTTTCAGTCTGGAAAATTCCATAATAAGAGGGCAGAAGGGCCCTGGGCTCCTGTTCCAGAAGGGCCTGTTCTGAGCACTTCTTCAGCCACAGAACCCGCTGTTGAGCAGGCAGGCTGTAGACTGGGGGCCAGGCAGGGAGCACAGGATCTGCAGAGCCGCAGGTATGTACTTTCAACATGTAGGTCATCTTTCGAGGCCTCAGGTCCCCAAAATTCACACTGTAAGGATCTCTTGTCTTTGAATCTATCCTCCCAAGGACATACTCTAGGCCCATGGGGTGGCCCAAGGACAGCCATTTGTCACAAAGTGGGGTGTGAGAAGTTCGGATATGCAGACTGAAGTATCTATATATACACACACAAGGCTCCTTGCAGTGTGAATTGAGCTGAGAGAAGAGAAGGCAGGCTGTAGCCTGGGTGCTAGGAAGAAGCCTATTTTAGAACAGAACTTCAAAGCCTCACTCACTCAATCATTGCCACCATGTCAAAACCAACTCATAGCTGACCTTCCAGTAGGGTTTCAAAGGCTCTAAATAGCCCATCATTCTCTTGTGCAACAGCTCATGGATTCAAAGTATTTGCCTTTTTGTTGGCAGCATAACTCCTTACCTACTAGACCACTAGAGTTCCCTCAAAGAATCCTGGAAGTCCAGATTCCAATCCTGGCCTTCCAAGTTGTTAGGAAGATATACCCATCAAGATGGGAAATGAAAACGTTAACAGCTCAATTTGTATTCTTCCAAAATTTGGGGATATGGTTTTGGGCCTTTGTTTGTACTCTTGGACCAGACCTGCAAATGTTAGGAGAAGGCCTGCTGCCTGGGTTGAGAGCTGGCAATGCATAACTGTAATAAGAGTCTCTGTCTGTTTTTTAGGAGTGAATCCATGCCATGCCCCTGCCCATATCACCGACATCTGGCATACACAACATTTGGCATCGATTAAACTAATTAGCACAAGGTATTTTGTATTTGACCCTTATAAGAAGAGTGAGAAAAGTGAGGGTGGCCATATCTGACCTCTCCTGACTCCATAAAGGGGGTCTGTCTCCATCAAGACATCCACTATACAAAACCTGTGAGATCAGACATGGTCCCCATGCTTTTGTACCTTCTTCTACTAATTCCAACACCAATCTTACTACTTGTTATTGTTTGGTGCCATCAAGTTGACAAGATCTGAGCCTTACTCTATCCTGTGCCAACTTCATTGTCTCTGATATACTTGAGCCCGTTGATACTGTCACTGTGTCAATCCATCTCATCCAGGGTCTTCCTCTCCTTCATTGACCTTCCATCTTTCTAAGCATAATGTCTTTTCCCAAGGACCAGCTTCTCCTAACAACATGCTCATAAACTTTGGTGACAAGGAAGTTTCACCATCCTTGCTTCTAGGAAGCACTCAGGTTTTACCTTCTCCTGGACATATTTATTTATTTGTTATTTGGCATTCCCATAGGATAATCAGTACTCTTCTCCAACATCATAACTCAAAGGCATTGATTCTTCTTCTGTCATCCTTAGTCACTGTCCAACTTTCAGATGCATAGCAAGCACTTGAAAAGACCACAGCCTAGCTAAGGTGTACCTTGGTATTCAAGCTGACAACATTGTTCTTTGAAACTTTGAAGAAGTCCTTGACAGCATATTTTCCATTTTGACAGCAACACACCTTTTCATTTCTTAACTATTAGTACCAAGGGTGTTGATTGTTGGATACAAGTAAGATGAAATCATTGACAACTTCAACTTTTTATCCGCCTATCAAGATTTTGCCCTAATACTGGGTCTGAAACCATTGTAATAGGTACGCAGACCTCACAGAACCATATTCACAGTTATGGGGCTTATTAGAGAAGTTAACAAGATGCAACTCAGATTGGCAGCAGGATAAAATTTCTCAGTCAGGACAGCTTGTTAAGCATGCTCACAGACCATTCAGCCTTGCAGTTTAAGGCTGGTTTCACAAAGCCCTCTTGTTATGTGCCATTGAGTTAGAATAGAGTCATAGCTGACCCTTGGCTGTAAGTCACAAGAAGAGAATCCTCATCTCTCTCCTGAGGAGCAGCTAGTGGATTTGAACCAATTGCCTTTGAGTTGATAGTGTAACTCTTTACCTCCTAGGCCACCAGAATTCCCTTAAGCTTTCTTAGTCTTGCCAACTATGGTATCTCTCCTCACTGTCCTCCAGC